CTCTAAATAAGCATAAATGTTTTATTTTTTCGAGTAGGGTTGCCACCTGTTTAAAACTTATAAGATCTTCACTATTCGGTGGATAACAAAATGAGATACTAAATGAAAGGGCATGACATTCGTATATAAAGCAACTTTTTTTGGGTCCTTCTATTTAAAAATTACTATTTTATCCTAACATAGCATAAAGCAAAAATTACACTTTTTGACCACGCCAATCTCTAATGTGCGGCCGCTGCGGTGTAGTGGTTGGCAGTGCACGCTACCAGAGCCTGGTTTCAAGCCCGGTTCAACCCAACACTAACATATGTATGTATAAGTAAGCGCCAATATATTATTATTATTAATCTCGTGAATTACTACACAGACTTGGAGGAGATTTTGCTTAATATAAACTGTATTATTAGGGGTGTTATCTTTAGTGCATAAAATTTCTATAGAGTTGCCACCTCTCTAAAAAATTATAACATCTGTTCGTTGAAATACAAAAAGTGAAATGTGAAATGAAAAGGCTTGCCCTCTAGATATTCAATAATTCATTATTTTTTGAATAGAGTTGCCACCTTGCTGAAAATAATATGATTTTCACCGTTCATTGGACTTAAAAATGAGGTACCAAGTGAAAGGATATGGTTTCCGGATGTTCAATAAGATTTTTTTTAGTGGGGCTGGCACCTATTTAAAAATTACTGTAAGGTTTTATTTTTTCGAAAAGGAATGCCGCCTATACGAAAATTTATAAGATGTGGGCTATTCGTTGGACTAAAAGTGAGGGGCCAAACGAAAGGACTTGCCTCCAGATGTTTATCCAGTATGCCTTGTCAAATTTGGTTTGGTGGCAAGGCGGTTTCGGCTTTGTGCCATCTTCAGTTTCACTATACATCATGTTTCTACTCGATTGGAAACACCAACAACCAAAATGAGTATCCTTCCTTCCTATTTTCGTCTTGCTCTTCACTCAGCAAGTAGCTCGCGCGTAAAAATAAAATTTTAAAATTAAATTTTCATTTGTCGCACAAAATTGCTTACATTCACTCATTCATTCATTCACTCCTCATTTATACGAGTACACTTAATCAGCCAGCCTTCAATTAATTTCTCTCCATTGAAATTTTTGTTCATTTCCGCGCCACACAGCGCAACAAACTGCTATTAATATGATGCCACTCTCTCGACGTCGCAGGTATACGGGTTTACTTAAATCACTGGCGAATAACCTTATTGCACTGCACTGCAGCGAAGAAAGAGTAGCTGTTGTATTGGTATTTGTTTATTGTAGTTGTTTGTATTTTCACCTGTTTGTTTCTCTGTCTGTTCAGAGTGGTCTTTATTTACAGTTCATTAATTATGTTGTCAACCGGTTTCATTTACAGTTGCTGCTTTCATTTATTTGTTTTTTGTGTTTTCTCTTTCTTTTTGTTGCTGGGGCATTCAATGTGTCCAATTCATGACTGTCACTTATACTCTGCCATTTGTACGAAGAGTTTATGCTGTACTCTACAAGTTATTGCGAATCTATAAAGGCTTGCAATGATATGATTTTAAATAAATTTTTTACTTAGATTGGCCAGGAGAAGGCTAAGCATATGATTGCGGTAAAAATAATAACACCCAGCTTTTAATTTCAAAAAAATACTTTTGTGTACGCAAAATCCCAACAAACAACATCCCAATTCACTGAAA